GCTTGTTGCAGTGCGCCACTTTTTACCATGTAGTGTTGTGCAAAAGACTACAGCGGGATTTTGCTGTGTAATGCCTTTTGGTCACGGTTTTCCCTCGGCGGTGACTTTGTTGTGCACATTGACCTTACTGCTTGTCGTGGGCTCTTTACCACTGCTACTTGAAGCTTGTCCCAAAGTGTCACTTTTATCGTGTGTGGTTGTGCAAAAGACTGCAGCGAGTTTATGCTGTGTAGTGTCTTTTGGTCACAACTTTCCTCGGTGGTGACGTTGGTGTGATGCTCACCCTTGTAATACGGCTTTGTAACCAAATCATTCCTTTAAAGAAATAAAGTATTCATAGTTCGAATTCGCTTTTTTTCTTCAAAGTGTTTGTGTTTTTGTTGGTGATGTGACTGTACTTGAAGTTTTGAAGTTTCAAGTTGCCTACGTACCCTTGGTTGAGGAGGGATCAAGTCATGACGTAGTTCAAATGAGTGATGGTTTTGATGATGATTTTGATGATGATTTTGCCGTACACAGTTTATGCTCTTGCGGGCCAGGAGCGTCTTGGTGCCGTTTGCATTTTCAGCTCATGCAGGCAAGGAGCGTTTGTTGTCGCCTTTTATGCTCGTGCGGACAAGGAGCTTTGGTTGTCGCCTTTTAGGCTCGTGCGAACGAGGAGTTTTTTTTGAATTTGTCAAACAATCTTAGAGAGGCATTCCTTGCAATTTTTATAGCAATGAGTCTTGACTGAGTGATTGAAAAAGTCTTTGGGGAAGAAATCGCGCATTGTGATGGCAACTGACGATCTTTGTGTCATAACTTCATCATCCTCAACACTTTCATGTAGCTTTGAAGGTTGACGGTAGCTGCTTTGCCCCCTTTCCGATTGGCGAACTTGCGGAGGAGACCTATGTTTCTTGTGCATTTTCTTTGGAGTGACATAAGTCCATCCTTCAACTTCACTTGACTTGACTGACATGGTTTTGGAGCATGCCCCCAGCGGTTGAGGTGAAGATTTTGAGTTCAAAGAGCCAGAAGTGACGGTGGTATAGTTTGACTTCACCACATCATTAAGATCTAGCTCGATGATCCCTTTCTGAGCCAACTTCATGATGAGATCTTTTAGCACAAAGCACTTTTCCGTCGGATGACTAATGAAGCGGTGGAATTTACAGTACCTTGGACTGTCAGTACGGTTCATATCTTCTGGCCGTTTGCACTCAGGTAGGTCGATCACCTTTTTGTCAAGCAAGTCTTTCAACATGGCAACCACGTCAGAGTCGGGGAATGGATAAGTCTTCTCCTCAAGCTCCTTCAAAGTGCGTCTACGTATCTCTTGATCACGAAAAGCTTCGGTTTGAATTGCCTTGCTTCGTGTAGGGATTTTGACTGGAGTTGTGTTGACCGTCATTGCTTCCTTGGTGGGTTTCCACGTAGCCTTATCCACCTTTGGCCCCAAAACTTTGTCATTCTTGTAGTCGGCGATCTGTTCTTTCTTCCCATGACGGTTGATGCTTAACTCCATATCATGGGCGCGGGTGGCTAACTCCTCGAATGTTCGTGGTTTGATGCCTTGAAGGATGTAGTGTAGTCCCCACTGCATGCCTTGAACGCACATCTCAATGGCAGAGGTTTCAGAAAGACGATCTTTGCAATCCAGACTTAAAGAACGCCATCTATTTATGTAGTCAACGACAGGTTCATCTTTCCACTGTTTCGTGCTGGTCAGCTCTAGCATGCTTACAGTACGACGAGTGCTGTAGAAACGGTTGAGGAATTCCCTTTCTAGCTGGTCCCAACTGTTGATAGACTCAGGTTCGAGGTCAGTGTACCAGTCAAAAGCGTTACTTTTCAGCGAACGCACGAACTGTTTGACGAGGTAGTCTCCCTCTGTCCCAGCATTGTTGCAAGTTTCAATGAAATGGGCGACATGTTGCTTCGGGTTGCCTTTTCCATCGAACTGCATGAATTTTGGGGGCTGATAACCCCTTGGCATCTTCAAAGCATCAATCTTCTTGGAGTAAGGCTTTGAGTACAGTACGGAGTCATGCGAGCTTCCTTCGTACTGTGTCTTGATAGTGCTTGCGATCATCTCCTGTAGCTGCTAGATAGAGAGAGATCCCATAGATGTCGTTGCCTGGTCTAACTTCGGCTTCTCTTCGACTTTCTCCGCTGGTGGCTCCTCTTCTTCGTCGCCTTCTTTCTTTAATAGGCCAACAATTGGGTCGACTTTCACGTCGGGCAACGCATCTAGTTGGTTGACAAGTACGGCAATCTGCAAGTCCTTCTCTTCCACAGTTCGTGTGAGCTTTGCGATTGCTTCATTCATCTGAGCTAGCTGCTCCTCGATTGAAGTTGCTCCAGTGGTCATGACTTGCATGGTTGTACTGCCGCTCGAATCAGCGTCGGAGGGTAGGGACTCTGAGTATTTCCTCGGGCTTTCCCCCCTTGATGCCCTTAGCGAGGCCAGGGTGATCACAGGCTCGTACCTCAGGTGCTCTTGTTCCTTTGACAGAGTTAATGCAGGGGCGGAAGCCACGGCAAAAAGATCTCTTGCCTTACTTCGGGTTATGATGCCCGAAATATCACCACTTGCGGCGATGATGTTCTTGTTCTTTGCTTTGATTGCAGGAACATCTTGATCCTTTCTTGATGCCATTTGCGTTTTTTGATGATTTGAGGATAGAGATGAGAGGTAGAGATATCCCACCGGGCGTGCCAAATTTGTAAACACGAATAATTCCTGAAACAAGCGACAAGAATACGTGTACAAAATATATATTTTGTATTAATGATTTTGGGGTTACAATCTCTTTGTAATTTGGTCCTCTGATTCTATCTTCGTAGGGTGTAGGTTTGTGGATGAATTGTTGATCCAAAGGGCCGTCGGGGCTTGATCTAAGGATGAACAGTTGATGAATGGATCTTCAAGGGGCGTTGGGCCTGATCTTGAAGAATGACGGATGATGAACGATGAACACTTTCTTCAAGGGGCCGTCGGGGCTTGATCTTGAGTTGGTGGAAGTTCTTCAAGGGCCGTTGGGGCTTGATCTTGAAGGAGGACGGAAGTTCTTCAAGGGCTTTTGGGCTTAATCTTGAAGGAGGACGGATGATGAACGATGAACACTTTCTTCAAGGGGCCGTCGGGGCTTGATCTTGAGTTGGTGGAAGTTCTTCAAGGGCCGTTGGGGCTTGATCTTGAAGGTTGATGCATGAGCGGATCTTCAAGGGCTTCTGGGCTTAATCTTGAAGGTTGATTGGATGTGTGGATTTGTTGAGGTTCTTGATCCAAAGGGGCCGTTGGGGCTTGATCTTAGGATGAACGGATGATGAGCGATGAACACTTTCTTCAAGGGCCGTCGGGGCTTGATCTTGAGTTGGTGGAAGTTCTTCAAGGGCCGTTGGGGCTTGATCTTGAAGGTTGATGGATGAGCGGATCTTCAAGGGCTTCTGGGCTTAATCTTGAAGGTTGATTGGATGTGTGGATTTGTTGAGGTTCTTGATCCAAAGGGGCCGTTGGGGCTTGATCTTAGGATGAACGGATGATGAGCGATGAACACTTTCTTCAAGGGCCGTCGGGGCTTGATCTTGAGTTGGTGGAAGTTCTTCAAGGGCGTTGGGGCTTGATCTTGAAGGATGAACGGATGATGAACGATGAACACTTTCTTCAAGGGCCGTCGGGGCTTGATCTTGAGTTGGTGGAAGTTCTTCAAGGGCCGTCGGGGCTTGATCTTAAAGGTGGATTTGACGAAGAACGAAGATTGCTTTCTTGATCCTTCGGGATTTGCTTGAGAGCTTTAGAGTTTCAACGCTTCTTCCTTTCTTCCTTCTTTCTTCCTTCTTTCTTTCTTCCCTCTTTCTTCCTCCTCCCCCCAAAATGAATGCCTTGGCCTCCTATTTATAGAATTCCAAAACTTGATTTTTGGATTTAAATAATCAGATGAAATAAATCATTTCTGCCAGGTATTGACACGTGTCATATTTGATGACTTTTCCAATTTATTTCGATTTTTCGTTGAATCACACGCTACATGTAAAATTTATGTGACACGTGAACGTTGAAATTTTAATTATTGGTCAACATTCATTTCACCGAAATTTTGATGTCTACATTCTTCACCCAAATATAATGTAAGTTTTGTGGTAGGGTGCGTCAAAGAGAAGAGAGAGAAAAGAGGCTTGAAAATTTTTGTGATGATATTTCTTAAATCGTGTGTTTTTATTTATACTTGTAAAAGAGTGAGAAATTTACTCTTTAAATAATATAAATATTAATAAGAATTAACGGTTAAGATTTACATAATCACAATCTAATTAAATATTAACTGCAACAAGTTTGGATTTTTTAATTACTTTAACCCACAATTTTTAAATTAGTTGCCATCTATGTTGGCAAGAACATGTGGTTGAGGTTTATTTATTAACTATAGAAAGATAATAATATGCTCTTTTATATCTAATTATAATATAATTATTATAATAAGTTAACACTCAGTGCTAACGACTGCTTAATTTAATATGAAGTTTACAATTTTATACCTCCCATTAATATATTTAAAGTTCTAAATCTGAACAGCAATTTGACAACCTTGGTCAACTTTTACATTGGAGGTAATTTTTTATTCTAAGGGTAAAGTTGGAATTAAAAACTTTATTACCAAAAATATATATTCATGTGAACGACTAGCTTAGCTGATATGTTCCATACATACAAACTAATTTTTATGACACTCAAAATTTTCTCTGAACTTGTGAATCGATAGACAATCACCTCATTATTGACCAGAGTACTACACCTAAACACTAGTTTGACAACCTTAGTTAGCTAAGTAACTTGCTAGGTTGACGAGATATTATACCCTTAACGTTGAAAACGTGTTTTAATGTGTGTGTCGCACTCAAACGATAAGTGTGATTAGATGATGAGCAACAGTAAATGTGCATAAATATATCTTCGATGACGCCCAAGATTTTTCCCGTGTCGGTAGACTATCACCTCACACACTATATATAAAGCGTCCCCAGGTTTGTGGAAGTAAGAAAAAGGATTCAACTTACGTGACGCAACCACTCAAACTTAAGCCAAACCTTCACTTCTATGGATTGACTTGTAGTTGGAGTTCATTTGTTTATATTTATATTTCATGTTGCTTTCTTAAAACAAACAAAACATAACGATAATACCAACACTTGGGACCGCTAATTTTGGTCAATATATGCAGACACCCCAATCATCACCATGGACGAACCTTTTATTTCCAGGACTGAGACAGCACTTGGTGTCGGAGGTGATGACCAACAAGTAGAGTCTTCGAGCACTTCAACGGCCAGAACACCACGAATGAGAAGCCACCCCTCCGGTTATCTTGATGTAGTCAGCTCTGATGTTATCCTCCCCATCATTGCAACACCAAACTCTACCTCCTACGCCAATCTCATCGCGAACCTGAACAAGAACAAGCGAAGGAAGCTCAAGCGCCGCTCCCATTCAGCTCCCTTGGTGTTCACTGGCACCAAGGAGCTCATTCAAGACTCCCTGGATGATCCAAGGCCTGCCCGTAAATCAACACCCTTCATTGTTCGCCAGGCCTTCATCGGCGTCATTGTCTATGTCATTATCGGCATTGTCATAATCTTGACAGCCGGGGGTTTCAAGGGGAAAGCCACTTACAAGCCGGTTGATGCCTTGTACTTCATTGTGGTCACGCTCTGTACGATTGGATATGGCGACATTGTTCCTGACACGACGGCTACCAAGCTCTTCACCTGTTTCTTCATCTTGGTTGGTTTTGGATTCATCGACATTCTGCTGAACGGGTTGGTGGTGTACATCTGCGACAGGCAAGAATCGGTGTTGCTGAGCACTATCGATGAGACGAAGTTCAACCACATGATTCAGACGTACATGATCGATAAAGAGAAAGGAAGAATGAGAATAAGGATCAAGGTAGGGTTGGCATTGGGAGTGGTTATTGGTTGTATAGCTATAGGGACAATTGCAGTACATTTTCTGGAGCAGATGAGCTGGGTTGATAGTTTTTACCTCTCTGTTACTTCTGTGACAACGGTAGGTTACGGCGATTTCGCTTTCCAGACAGTTGGGGGTAGGTGTTTTGCAATAATCTGGTTACTGGTTAGCACATTAGCTGTTGCTAGGGCTTTTCTGTACTTGACTGAGCTTAGAATCGACAAGCGGAATCGCCGAATCGCGAAATGGGTTCTTCAGAAGGAGATCACCCTCAGGGACCTATTGGCAGCAGACCTAGATAATGATGGATGCATCAGGTACCCCTAACTTTTCCCTATCTGAATTTAAACCAGTTTTGTTTTCCCCTAATTTTTCTCTAATTTGGAATTTTCTAAAAACTCAAAACTTTTCCCAATATGCATTTATGTTAGCAAACGTGGGTTACGCCAGATGGCTACGCTAGTGAACCTGTCCCCTTCCCCTTAGTTTAGAATATCGTCCTGTAAAGAATATGTATCTATGTTAAGTTTATACTTTCTACCTTTAATGCTGCAGCAAATCAGAGTTCGTCATATACAAGCTGAAGGAGATGGGGAGAGTAGCAGAGAGTGACATCCTGCAGATATCCAAGCAATTTGATTCTTTGGAACACAACAACAGTGGCAAAATTACTCTTGTTGATCTAATGGGAAGCAACATGTGAGCGACTCCAATAAGGTTTCCCTCAATGGAAAGTCTGAGGCATCAAACAAATCTTGCTACAGGAATTAACAGAAGCAAACTGTGAGAATTCCGAATTTTTACGGTACATGTGTAGAGAACTAGGCACATGATTTGATAATTTCACTACAGAGCAGAAAACTCAATTCAATTCTTTTGTAAATACTTTAGGTTTCAAATAAAAATGGAACTTTGATGATCTCATTTCATCGTTTCTTTGTCTTCTGGAGTCAATGTTTCTTAGTTTTCTGGAGTCATTTGGCAAATTATATCAGTCCCTATAGTTTTAGTGAAAGGTCTCTTGCATAGAAAGCCTATGAGTTCATCAGAGAGCATGCATTGCCCTACACACATTCAGGTACGGAAAAATACAGCCTGCTCATCTACAGGGGAGGGACCGCAACAGTGTTTCAGGACCAAGCATTTAAATTTTACGGGATGCTGGATGAGGCAATGAAGTAGCTGTTAATTGTTCTTTACAATCCAATGGCAAAAAGTACAGCAGTATGCAAACATAAGCTCATAACAGAAGGTGGAGCCAACAGATTTATGTAACACTTGGCCTACCTGGCAGTATGGACAAAGATAGTATTATGAGCCGGGATCAGTCAAATGTTGATTAGTTTCTCCATTACACTGTAAAATATTGTTTTACATCTCTTTTTATCCCGCGGTATAACTATTTGATCCAAAAATGGGTGAAAAATAGGTACATGAAAAGAAAAAGCATGAAAAAAATGAGGGATAATATGACATCTATTGATGACAACAGATAGTCATATTAAACAAAACTAGTTACCATGAATAAGTAGTGTATCTTTTCACACCAAAGCGAAGATGCATTCCTAGATTGAAGAGGTGCATTGGTCTATCGATACTGGAGGTACAGCCAAAACTTTAAATCTCACCCATCTCTTTGCATCATATGGGGATGTTTGCTATTAACTGTTTAGAGAAACAAATGAAGGACAATATGTTGTCACCAAAGAGCAAAAACCATTTTCAAAAAACTGTTCCCTAATTATTCCATTAGATATCAAGTTCAGGGTTCAGAACTTCCAAAGACCTAAAACACCAAGAAAACTTGACAAAATTCAGGCATTTAGGGGGGGGGGGAGTTGCACTTCCACAACCTCGGTTTCTCAATTTGAAATTCATGCATATAGCATGTTTCACACAGTAACTATACTTGCAACAAAGAGACTGATAATATACAAACACTGTCATTGCTTAAATAATATACAAACACAGTCATTACAAGCAAGTTTCATGCTAAAAGCAGTGCCGGAGGTGTTAATTTCTCAGACATAAAATGCAATGTTTACCGGATTCTAGAGATTGAATAAAACAACTAAGCCTTATCGGGCCTCCACATTTGCCATCTTGATGCTTGAAATCCTGTGACCACAGAGATCATGAGCAGAAATGAAGTTTATCAATGAGCATGCATCATCAGAAAAAAAAAAAAAAAACAAACAAACAAACAAAAGTTGATAAAACATACAAGTAGAGGAGTAATATTTGTGATGGTTAACTCTTGTAAAGGAGACAACTGAAAATGTAAACCAACTTTTGAGTTCACTAATGCGCATACCTCTGTCTAACACCAGAGACACTATCAAGAAGTTCCATCGTTTTTTGCACTTTAAAATTTCTTGATTTCTCCTGGCCGTCCACTACCAAGGTTGAGATCCTCAATATGGTGATAAGTTCTGCTTCAATTTTTTTGAGTTGATGATCCAGATGTTCTAAGAAACTATTGAAAGAGGTTAATCCCTTCAAGCTACTAAGTGTCTCATCTTCATTCCAAGCTCCCCTGTTTAAAGGTTCTCGAAGGTCCTCCCCTTCTGGCTCAACAGGTAAGCTTGCTTGGCTGTCTTTAAGAAGCGGTGTTTCTTCTTTCAGATCATTTGAGACAAATTCTTTGCCCACCTCCAAATTTTCTGCAACTTCAGCTGTTGGTGATACAATTCGAACTGGACTAAAAGCATCTTCTCTGACAACTTCAAGATCCAAAGAAACATTCCCGATTAGCTGCCCTTCTTTCAGAGAAATTGCCTGAAACCACATTAGTCTTCTTCCGATCATATTACCGCTGAAAGGTAAAGATCTTCAATAAGTTACAGTAAGGGAACAAAGATTGGAATAAGAACATTAAGAAAAAGTATATCTTACTAGTGGTTACTATTTTTTTTTATCAGTTGTGACATTTCGAGGAAGGAGGTTATGAATTTGGGACCTCCGTTTTAAAGATGTGTGGCTACCAACTGAACCTTAACCTGACCTCCTTTCTAAAGGCTCGACTGAGCTAAGATAGCGTATAATATCTTCTCTATGCAATCATGATTAAGTTTTGATAACAATTTTGCAGACAAATCTGGAAAAGTTGAAAACATGGCAGCTTCAAACATCATGAACCAGTTACAGACCTATAAATGTCCTTTTCAAAACAACGATTAATTTTGGTGATAGTCGATTTTTGTCAATGGAATCGCATATTGGATTAGTGGACTTCCAACTTCGACTGAATTACTAAAAACAACGATCTTATCCAGTATTCCTCCGCTTACACTGGAAAATCTCTTCCATAATTCTTAACAGTTTATTTTACCTCATTAAGCTTTGTGGAAAGCTCGTCAAGAAATTCTATGCGGTGCTTTGACTTCTCCAATGCTTCCATGACCTTTTTCTTCTGAAAGAGCAGCTCCCTTGCATCGTCTTCCTTCCCAGCTTGGACATTAACAGCTGCTTGCCGTTTCAGCTTCTCGGCTGCCTCTGACAGCCGCAAAAGCCTCAATCTGGCATTGTTTGCTATGCCAACAACCATGAAATGTTGTTAAATTCTGTCAATTATCTGTTCTAAGTTCTAACTCAAATCACCAAAATATTGGATTGAAAGCTCCTTAATTAGTTATAACATCAACTAAAAGCAACTAGTGATTAACATATCAAAATTTCTCCACTAACAAGTGCAGATAATCTAATCATCATATTAAAAATTGTGTAATTTTGTAAAAGAAAGAAGCTTTCATACAAATTATTCAGCAAAAAAGTTATAACAACAAAAGAAACTAACAAGGCGGGAACTTGCAATGAAATGAGCATAAAAATGTAGTTTTTCATTGAAAAAGGCAAATGGGTATTTCCCCAATTTATATAAAATATTATGAAAGAGAGGAAAGCAATATATAAATATATACATGTATGTATATGTTTATGTATATACCTTTGGCTCTGGCGGTCTCAGCCTCAGAGTGGAGCTGACCGAGCTGGGCACGTAGCTCCTCTGTGTTGACGTTGGAAGCCAAGCACATGGGCGTCCTCCATGAAGGTCTCCGCGGAACAACCACAGCTGTTCCACCACCACTCCAGGGTATCATCCCTCTCTCTCTCTCTCTCTCGTCCGTTTGGAATCTGGATGAATGGGGGTTCCCCATGATGAGGTCCATAGCTTCAGCCTTATGGCTTAGAAGCGTGAAGCCCACTTTCGCATGACCCGAAGAAGACCTCTCTTTGAAATGGGCTTCGAGGTTGTCATTGTATATTTGCTTTTAGGCCTCGTTTGCTTTGGATTGAGAGTCATGGTATACATAGAGCATTACTTCCTTTTTGGAGGAAATTCAAACTTTGCTTTTTCTTTCTCTTTGTCGTCGAGCCTGATCAATCGCCAGATTGTTGAATGGGGAAACAGATCCTAACTTTACAGTTTGTAAAAGCTGAAGATAGAAAATACATTAGCCACGATGAAACTTATTCTTCAGAATCCGTCATTTTATGGGAGTTGAAAACTGTAAATTTCATTCACGATCAATTCATTTTTTACTTTTAATTTAAACAAATATATGGTTAGCGTTATATTGTATCCTAAACAGTTGTTTAGACACAAAACGTGGCTAGGGGGATATTCTAAACTTAATTCCATTTACGTGTGTCACTTTTCTTTCTTTTGCCAATCACTCGTTTCACATCAGCATATTGATTTGTATCCTACCTTGAATGCATAAGAGGTTAGGGGAAACTTGTGTTTCCTTATTAAGTCGCATCCATTTTCCTTTCATTTTTTTTGGACAAGCATCCATTTGGACCATTTTCCTTTCAAGACGAGTACTCTTTCTCTTGGATTTGGTAGGCTAAGTCCATCAAAGTTTGGGTCCACGTGAAATCGTCGTCCAAGACTACTCGAGTGCAGATAGCCCTTGATTTTGACCCAAAAAACCCTAATAATATGAATGTCATCTCATCAAGTATTGATCGATAACAACCAATCATGAATGACGAATGAATGTCATGAGTGATTCATGACAACCTCCCATCAACAACGCCCACTCACGCTCAACACTCAACCTCAAAAAAGTGACATTGACAACCTCCTAATTCATCTCACTGTGAAAGAGCGAGAGAGTTCGGATAAATGTCATGTCCTATTCAATGATCTAAACTATGCAAGATTTAACAGTTGTAAGAATCAATTAGATCTTACTTTACATGAAATTTTTAACCGTTAGTTTTTGAACCATTCAACGTTCGTGAAAGAAATATCTAAGAAAGTGAGAATGAATTTGTAATTTTCTAAAGTGATTTTATATTAAAAGGAAATTCAGGTCACGCACGTGGTAGGGTTTCTACTTTCTAGCAGACAATGGGGCTAAGAACGTAAGACTGCAGTATATATCAAATGCCACATTTTCCCATATCATTGTATCCCTTTTTCTCTTTGTTTCTTTAACTGAATAATATGCTATATCGTGAATGTACTTGCACAAAATGTTAAGTGCATTGCATGGAATTATCCTCCTTTTAACAATTTGTAATTTGAGGTTGAACACTTAATCCGAAGAGGAGCCATGTAATTACAAAAGAAAATTGCATGGCCTCCAAACTTCTTCAGACTACCGTGGACATAGGGACTTGAGTGCTATATTACATATTACAGGATGTTCTCATGTTAGATCGTCTGACTACATAATATGTTTATATTGTATGAGAGCAAATTTTTCATAAATATTCATACTTGAACGGTGGTTTAAATTTAATTAGCATTAACTCGACAACATAATTTTGGAAACTAAGAAAATAACCCATGCATCAAATATCACATCACTCATAAAAATGTATCGTGCCATACAAAAAGGATATATATGGCTTTGAAGGAGGAGAATCCAAGCTAGACACTTCAAAAATGCAAATGAGTTAACTTTTGGCAGACTACAAGTTTTATAAATGTGCTTTAATTAGATGATGACGATGATGACAACGTTAATCAAATTGTCAAACGAGGAGCTATAAATTCATAATGTGTATTTACATAAGATGCATATACGTATGAGTGCTGACATGTAAAAATGTAGTCTGTGAATTATGCCGGATTTTTGGGGTTGAAAGTTTGACTTATAGATACAACTTAATTAATTTCATTACATGAAATTTGATCTGTTCTATTATAACAAAACATGACAAGCAAGATATCC